GAGAACTAGAGTCTACACGTGTCTGCATATACTTCGAGTACTCCGAGAAGTAAGTCGAGTCAGTCCGCGTCGGTGCAACTTGATAGCAGACTAGCAGGTTACTCTGGGCTGCTTACGACGGGAGGGATCCAGCCTAGAGCTGTTCTTGTTGAAAATACTCAAGGCGCCGAAGGATGTATGCTGCTAGGTCGCGTCATGGTACGTATTGTATCGATAGCAGATGGAAATTGAGCATAGCGAGGACTCCTTACTGGCAGTGGAGCTAGTCCATGTCGTGGAGGCGGCTTACAAAGTGAGTAGAGCGCACTCAGCCTGAGCTTGTCCGAGAGTACCGCAGGTTTATGGCCCACCATTGAGTCGGATATTGCACCCGACTATGAGAACGGAGCTCGTTAGTGTCACCGGTTTTCCTTGGGGTTTTTGGGTATACGATGGTCATACTGGTGTGATACTCACGAAGCGGATCAGATTACCACGACGAAAGCCCTGGGCTTACCAGCTCGTGGGATATCTATGGTCGACTTCGCGTTCGACAATTCTGATAATTGGTATATCGCTGGTCAAGACAAACCTACCAAGGAATATAAGGTGTGGAAGGCCCCATTCGATGAGAAAGGGTTGGCGGTCGAGATATTCACTGGAGAGGCAACATCGATTGACCTATACTCTACCAGCGGAAACACTTATGTTTTCGCAATCGTTGATAGCGAGATTCGTATGTATGGTACCCCCGGCAATCGCCGACCGCCTCTTGCGGGTGATTTCGTCGTCATCCGAGCGGCCGAAAATACCCACGATTGGGCAGCTCTCATCTTCGACAGCTCAGCTAAATATCTTCATGTGTCCGACAGAAAGATGAATCAGGTCTATCGCTTTGATGTGACTTCTTCAAGTTACCCTGAGAGGCTTGTTGCTGGTAATCCCGATGGTGTTGCTGCGGATGATGAAACGCATCTCGACCATCCCGAAGGAGTCAAATTCGCCCGTGGTGACCTCTATATTTTACAAGGTTCCCCTGAAGAAGGCCATATTGTTAGGTGGACTCCTGGTAAGAGCAAACGAAAGTTCGTTTACGACTTCGCCGTAAATGGTCGGCTGGGTTTCGATGTGGCGTACGTCACGCAAGATTACATCTATTACAGGAAGTCTGACGATGC